CACTAAATACTGGAAGCAGATCAGAGTCCAGTCAAACACATGCATGTATCCTCCCAAAATCTTGAATAATATTTTATTTCAGTTTCTGCAAAGGTTATTATTGTATGTTCTCATCCAAGGTCGACAAAGATAACAGGTTTTGCACCTGTGGCATCCCATGTTGTATGCTGCGCATTCAAAGGCAATTCACATGTCGCCAATAATGTCTTCTGCCCCTTCCTCTGGCATCAACCAGACTTCCATAAATCATAGTCTAAAAAACGTTGGTAAGTGGGACTTATGTTATTCTAGCACAACTCAGAAAGCATGCAGGATTCAGTAGGTATACTGAACTGGTATATTTAGGAAACATACTAGAAAAAAACAAGGTTGTAAAACAATGCAAATCCTCATGGCAGTACAGTTACTGTACTCTGTGTTTATTTTCTCAGGAAACTAATTCAAATCTATTAGTTGGCACTAATAGGTAACTACAACTTATTTTCAGATTTGTTTCCCCTCGCCTCCTCTGTTTTGCTACAGGACCTTTGTTAAATACTGCAATCCATTCATTTATTATTCAGTTGTCAATATTAGTTCTACAAAGGCAGCTGAGAATTCCTGTAAGATTATGCAATTGAAATGTACCTGTCATTAAAATGTTATAAAACACTCTCGGCATAACTCTTGCTTGAAGGATTTTTAATGTGTCTAGTCAGCGTCTGAGTGATCGTATTAATGAATTGAAAATACAATATTGTTATAAAGGTAAATTAAGGAAAGTGCTATCTCCTATCTGCTCTAACAGAAGTGCAAATATTTCAGATGGTTTGAGTAGATATGTCAGCATTCCTGGTTTGTCCGATGGTGAGGCAAGGTACAAAATAAGAACTGTTAAGTCGTCTTAACTTTGCGGTGATTTAACGGTGCATTGGAACAGGGCTCCGTGACTGACATACGAATTAAAATGCAAACGCAAACCAATCAATGGCAATGTATTTACCTTTACAGAGAACAGACCTGTTGGAGTGGGTTCAGATAAACTGACTCGCCTGAGGGCGAGAGACCAGCTCTGGGTCTGCAGTCATAGTCTTACCTCCCTTCACACTGGCCAGTGTATGATACCCATGCGACTGAGAGACTGGACCAGCGACTGTATTGTGAAACAGATAAATGTGCTGTTCAACACATTAATAGAGGAGAGCAAGCATGGCTTTATATATATATATATATATATATATATATCCAACCGATATACGTTCTCTCAGAGTTTGATTTTTTTTCATAAACCTTCGCAGAGTCAGAAGACTTCATTCTTAGGGTCTGGTGCACAGCCTTGATATTGAGCATAAATTATTTCGGATCATTAATGCTCCAGTAAATGCATCCATTTGTTTAAAGAGCATGTGCTTGTGAAACGCCAGTAAAAGAGTATTGTATCAAGCACCAAATTCAATTTGTTTTTTTTCACTGAAATCGTCTCGTCCACTTTTGTCCCCCCCCCCCCAACCCCTCCACCCTCCACCCATGCATTTACCTTGAGTTTTTAGAGTTTTCTTTTAAATGGTATGTTTTTACATAAGAAAAATATAAGTACTATATATACACACACATATATATATATATATATATATGAGCGCTGTAATTCTAACATCAGAGTAAGGTGCTGTATTGTGAAGGTAGTTTGTTAATAACTGGACACAAATAGCTCAGAGTCGTCCACTTCGCAAAAGGATCAAAAGAAACAAATTACTGGGTTACTGGGTTTTTTTTTAATATTAAAGTATATAGCTCGTGCATTATCTCCTTATGAATCGGAACCCGAAAATTATAAGGAAGTCGGTATGAATAGCCCCTTTGGTGTGTTTGTTGGTGTACCAAAAATACTAAATAAAAAAAATTAAACTCAGATGTTTATCTTATCACTGGCCTGTGTCGGCACGCGTCAATCTGCAGATAATGCCAGAACCGTACTAATGTAATGATTGAGCTCTGCCAAGGCAGGACGTTTGCTTATTGCATTATGCAAATATATTTTGCAGATGTTGTTGGTTTATTAATGGCTGGCTGGCTGGTGGATAGATAGATAGATGGATAGATAGATAGTTATAGGGGGGGGGGGGGAGGGCTGACAGATACTGTACAAGTTGCATTACTTGCTTGTGTCGTAACAATACAGATTTGCACTGCAATGCAATTATGTACGAAGATGTCGAATCTCGAGTCAGTTACCCTCTCAAAATAGCTTGTTATCGTCTGACTAGTTGCTCTTCAGCGTCGTGCATTGTCTTCTTTTATGTATATATATATATAATATATATATATATGTGCATAAAACCCGGAGAGAAAAGAGCTGATAAGTAAATAAAAGTAACGTGATGTAAGCCTAGAAGAGTGGCGAGCAGATAGCCATAATTAAATTTTCCCTGGGTGTTTTATTCTTGGCTCCACTGGATTTGTTGGCGGATTCCCGAGAGTTGGATGTAATGTATTGGCGGACAGAGAGAGAGAGAGAGAGAGAGAGAGATCTGCCCAAGTATGCGAGCTGTCAGGAGCCGAGGAAAGAATAGCCCGACAGTATTAATGACCGTCTCTTGTCAAGAGGGGACAATGTGAGTTTAAAATGGACCACCTCGCTCGGGCTAGTGTTACACTTCTTCCAGTGTTGCTGGCCAGGCCAACGCATGAGGTTATCTGCCTGGAATATGGAGTGGGCTGAGCTCGCTTGTATATAAGTGTGAATCGTTCTCAACGAACAAATCAGAGGTTAATATCAAAGGTTAAATCGCAACAACCCCGTTTGCAATTTATCCGAACTCTGAAATGGACATCTTTAGGGGGAAGTGTATTGCACCAAATGTAGTGAGGCACAGTCGCGGTTAGAATGAGGCGAGTCCTCCTTACATTGCGTGGATAAAGGTGAAATGCACACGAATGCTTTCTTCTGCTCTCTGTTATGTGTGTACTTCGGTGACTTGGCTGACGCCAAGAACCAGGGACATCAAGAAGAAAGGGGTGTCATATACCAATGGCAAAGAGAGACAACGGGCGTTATTTGTACGCAATACTCAATAACTACCTTGATGGACAATTTGACAGAGAAAAACATCTGAACACGCTGTTTGTCCTACTCAGAGCAAAAAAAAAAGAGGGAGAAGGTGTTTGCCAAGAGATATAAAGGTATATCAGGACCAACTGAGCCAAGTCAGGGACACCTTGATACTTGGTAAAGATCTGCCTGTGTCAAGGTTGCGTGCAGTTAGTTTGGGATACTGAAAGTGAAACAAGCATCTCTTAAATGAGACGGGCACTTCCTGCTCAAATCCTAACCCATTACCTTTAGTTGGTGATCACCTAAATCGATCGTGACTTTATTTTTGGATTGCCTGAGAGAAAACCTAGAAAATATGTCTGTGAGAGGCAGGGCTTTCGTTTCAAATGGTAAAAAAAAGCGCCCACGAGATACCAGGGTGTAACAAAAGATGGTGTGGATTATTTTGCTCCTCTTAGGACAAGGCATCTCATCTTTCAGTTTGCACTTGAATAAATGACTAACTTCACACGTTTCCAGTCGAAGAAAACCTTCCACGACGTGCGCATCCGATTTCAGATTGTGTTGTGATTTCAAGTTACGCAACCAGGTTGCACTGGTTATGTGTGCAACCAAAATCGCTTTGAATCTGTGTATCGTGACTGTCACATTTTAGGATAATAGTTTTTTTTTCGATTTAGAAATACCAGTACGTAAAAAGCTCCTTTCTGATTTATCAAACGGCGCAGTTAAAAAAAACAAACCCATTAGCCTTTGGAGATTACAGATAGTTTTTTTTTAGTTATTACAATACTTAATTGAGACACTTTCCGGGTAGGGTGGAGCATTAATCCTAACCTTACAACTTGCTCAATCCTAACCTTACGACGTGTTCCTACACTTGGGCGTCTCTTTTCGCCAGTTTCAGACTGATGTACCTCCAAAAGGTGTGGATCACAGTCTTGAAATGGAACAGCTGATGTGGGTACCCAACATCTGGACTTCACTCCCCCACCTCTTCGGCAGCTCCTGCCTTCCCTAACGCGAGATTGTAATCCATCTCTACCACACGACATCCAGAATTACCATTCGGTGCGTGTTAAGAGCTGCGATGAGGCTTTCACCTGGATTTTAAGACACAAGAGAGGTCTCCAGTTTACAGTGACTCGCAAGTGTTGCAAAACCCATTTGCTTTAGCGCCCGCTGCATGTCAAACAACAACAACAACAGCAACAACACGCTTCTGAGAGATGTCCTCACGAGCCTGGTATAAAGATCACAGCGGGGCTCCTGTGAACCTGTGATCGATCGATAGGATCACGTACAGCGCAGGTAGTGGAGGTAAAGGAAGGAAGGCAGCAAGTATATATATATATATATATATTTTTACGCACACTGTGATTTGATTTTGTGAACTCTACTATTCCAGGGGGCGGGGGGGGGGGGGGGGGGGTGGACGTTAATGTTTTCCGGAGTCGGTGTGTGTGTGTATGAGTATGTGTGTGTGTGTGTGTGGTGGGGGGGGTGGGGGGGAGAGAGAGGGAGGAGCTGGTTGGATGGTGGTGCTTTCTCACTGGCTCACCTAAAGTGCCGATGGGGCTCCGCGAAACCAGTCCATTGGAAGGTTTCGCTCCAAGTCTCCAGTTGAGATCCAAGGGCTGGGAAAGCGCGGGGTGAGTGAGGAGGATATGGGGAAGGTTCGAACTTCCCACACAACAACCCACGCACCGCACCGCACCGCACGCCACACCAGCATTAGCCAGTGCCCGGCCTGATCCAGGGGAAATGACAAATCCGCATCGGTAGTGTTTTTTTTTAAAAAAAACATGTACTAAAAACACACGCTCGTCGGTCGATCGGTGTGCAGCTTCTCTTGAGTCAATATTGCTCTCGCCACCCCGCTGGCTGTTGACCCCCCACCCCCCCCACCCCCACACACACACACACACACACGCACACATACACTCAGGTCCTCTTTTTTTCTTGCCCTGGATGGAGTCCCAGCCCCCTGAGTAGTGTCATGCTGCCCCGGGCAGAAGCAGAATGACATCGGTGTCGCTCGATCGCACGGTGGAACAGGATCAGATGCAGGAAACTATGCGTGGTAAGAGAAGTAAGCGTGTTGTGCGGTGCTGACTGCTCCCCGGTTGATTTGCATTGTAATGAACGCGTCCTTTTGGAAACCTACCGACTCGACTGTGTAATGTGTGTGTGTGTGTGTGTGTGTGTGTGTGTGTAATGTGTGCGTGTAATGTGTGTGCGTGTGTGTGTGTGCAGTAATAACCAGCGTGTGTTGCAACTACATGGACAGTTTCGAGATGCGTCTCCAAGTATCAAGTGTTCTCCTTTACTTTGAACATGGACGTGCAATGCTAATGAGGTGCACAAGTGTGACACGGGCTGTTCCGACATTCGGTGCGACTTCGAGACCCGATTTTAGCGACTGGTATGAAATGAGACAGGCAATTCGCATTGCTGACGGGAAGCGATTACTATAGTGTGCGCGACTTGTCCCTACAGTTGCAGCCACCCTCTTTATCCCAATCCCATAATCGGTTTGTGTTTGGAGTATGCAATATATATATATATATATATGACTATATAAATGCGGGATCATCAGCAAACAAACTAAGCTAAACTCAGTCAGACAGTTTGCAAACGGTGGCTGCAGCTCACACTGGAGCATTCGGGGTCAGTGGCCAGTGTTGTACCGGTCGAGGAGAATAATGCTTCGGGGTTGTGAGTTGGCGGATGGCTGTGTTTATTAATATTGCTCACTGAGAAGCGGATAAACTTCTATGTCAATTTCACAACAGCAGAGGCACACTGTGAAGCAGCTGCAGAACGTGCAGACGTTGATTTAGCAAAAAGTAGAATTTGTTGACAGCAAAGCTGACGCCAAGATGTTCAAACTGGTCGTTTCTTGGGAAATGGGGAAGTTTTCTGCGTTCAAAAATCGCGTTAGCGTTTATTTATTTTCCTACTCAGGAAAATCCGCTCACTCCACAACTCGACTAATGTCAGACAGACCAACCAATCAGAATACAGCAGCCTTCGCATGTGTAACTTTGTGCGGATTCTTGAGAGAATAAAAATATCGAATTCGATGTGAATTTTTTTTCCCCTCCCAAAATACGAACTTCAAATACGTTTAAATTAAACTGAAGTAGTATCCCCCTTTCCCGACAATGTAGACGTGCGGATAATTTGAAATGTACTGAACTAATTATTATTTTTCTTCACCACGACTTTAAAAACTCTGCTCCCACTGCGTCCGAAAGGAGAGGGAGTAAATGGCAAGAGAAGCCCAGTCACTGTTTCTCGAGTTTCGTAAAGATAAGATGTTTCTAGCGATTGGCATTTCTAGCGATTAGCGTCCAAATCCACGTGAAATACTGCAACTGACTATCCGGTTTATTACATTGTGAAATGCACTGTTGAATGGCCTCATTTTGCATTTCGTCGGCTCTTTTCTGTCATAAGAGGTTAAAAAAAAATCACCCGAGAGTATTTATTTTACGAAAGTTAATGACTGGACTCCATCGAGATGCATTCCTGCACTGTGCAAATGCGCTCCACCTTTGCATTTTACACTTTTCCCTCAAAAGTCTATGTCTAATTCATCTTTCTCCTCCTCCCAAAATGTCTTGAGTAATGAGTTGTTGAAGTGCCCTGACACTGCTAATTTTAACTTGATGTAACACCACTGCTTTGGACATCCTGCTTTGGCTATTTCCCTCAATATTCAGGACACTTTTCGACTCGAATTCCAGTCGAATGTATCACACGCAGGGAAAACGTGTTCAGATGTTATGTATGACGTGCTTCAGTCACAGTTATTAAATACTTTGCTTCAGTCACAGTTATTAAATACTTTGTGCATTTATTTTGACATTTGGAATATACTACACTAGGTTTGAATTGCACTTTAGCTATTTTGAGTTGTCAGATCAGATCAGACTCGTTTATGCCACCAAAAATACTAAAAGCCACATATACTGTCCTCTGGTTAAAATGGTCAGGTATCTTATCTACTCATTTTACCTGAAACGCACATAGATGCGCTGTTTTTAAGTGACTATTCGCTTTAGATAATCGAGTCCAGTTTTTTTCCCCCCCACAGTGAAAGACTTTACAAAAAAAAACAGCTGTTTATTTCTGTTCCGCTGCAGCACAAGTGCACGTGTCCGTTAATCCAACAACTTTAATTCAGAATGGTTACAATACCCATAAAAATAACAAGATCCAGAAATAGCCCGTTCAAATTGTTCTGGAAATAGACGAGAGAACAAACAGGGGGAGCGGAGTTAGCATTGCATTTAAAGCGAGCGGATTGCCTGTGTGTTACTGAGTGTCGCTCTGTGGCAGGAGGCGAAAACTATTAGACTGAAGTTACTTGATAAATACTTGGGAGTTCCCTTACACACGTATGTCCCCAAATATAAAAACAAGTTAAAGGCAACGACCATACGGTCTAACGAGATGAAAGGCATCACCTGTCCCACCATCCGTCCTCTTTGTTCACATTTAAAACAGCTCTTCGGATTCTTAAGGGTTCAGCTTCAGGGATTTTGTGTGTATGTGTGTGTGTGTGTGTGTGTGTGAAATTGCTTGGGGAAAAGGCACAATGTTGCACGGCGCCTTTCAAAAAGCATTTTAGAAGAATGTGAACTTTTAAACTGTCAACACTGCCCGGAGCCCAAAGGAAAGGATTAGACAGTTTGCCATCAGATATTCCAGTAATTACCAACACCATCGAAATACTTTCATCTGTATTAGAATTGCACACAGTTGTCCCAAACAAGCCGACGCCCCGCAATAATAAGTATGCATTTTTCGCACCTTTTGAGAAAATTATTTTGAATATTTGGAGGAACTGTTCCAATTCGAATTTTTTTTACCTCTTTTCCCAATGATCAGTTTCGGGTCAATCAATCTCAAGCATTGAAAAGCAACCATCCGTTGATTTCATTGCACTGTTACTGGTTTCAGGAGAGACTTTTTTAAAAGTAAAATAAGAGCAATTCAATAAATAATATACTCTACAAGCATAGTTTTTGGAAGGAACATTTATCCTTGATGAGATCAGGGCAATTGTTCACGAAGGAAGCAATGCACTTATTATCATGATTATGAATTATACGTTGAACTGAACGCCATAAAATCATTAAGAAACGAGATGTTTCTAATTCTAATGGTTGACTGGACAACGAACAATTCCATTTTATAGGCCGTATAGATTCTCTGGTTGTAGGTTCTGGTTGTCCCCCCCCACACACACACACCCCATCCCTTTCTGGGTTAAAGTACCAGCGCCCAATCCGACAATGAACTAAATACCAGACATTTTTTTTTGACACTGCTGCATTGCAAAATAGACCACAGGACAAATATCCCCCACCAGACTCCCAAATCAAGGACTGTGTGCCTTATATCTCTTCCTACAAACACTGTAGTGCAGTGCAGCTCTACTTCACAGACTGCAGCCTTTCAGTGGGGAGACAGACAGAGAGAGAGAGAGAGAGAGAGAGAGACGTAAAGGTGAGGAGGATCTGGCAGTTTTTGTTTGCCAAAAAAAAAGCCAAGTGATCAGGCGCTGAATCTCACCTCACCAATCCCAACATGGGACCCACCACATGCGATCACCAAATGCACACCTTGATTTGCCAAATGACTTTTCCGTTCCAGCACATTTCACGGTGCAAACGACACCTAAAGTAACATTTTTTTTTAAATTAAAAAAACCTGCCTCGCCCAGTTCCACGAGTTAACTCTTCAACAACTAAAGCGTGCGTGGGAATATACACTTTGGAAATCTCGCAGGAGTGACGAGGATTTCTCTTGGCATATATCGAGTCACGATAACGTGTGTGAATGTGCCGAGCGGTTCAGGAGCAGAGAATTGAAAGCACAGGATAGCGCGAAACCGACTGAGCGAAGAGGACCGACCCACTGACTTCCAAGTGGGAACAACTTGACCGTTCGCTCTTATGCTTTAGCAAATTCCAGGCTGTGCTCCAGAGATGCGACGAGAGTTGCAACAGATTACAAAAAGGGGGGGGGGGGGATGCACAGCCCTTCAATTTCCAATCGTTGTGTCAGAAAGTATCAGAATCCCATCCTGGCCCTTCCTTGTGCCTTGTGCCTTGTGCAGTCCTAGAAGCGAACGAAATGGGTCGAGAAGTGGGGGTGGGTGGAGAGGGAGAAAGAGAGAGAGAGAGAGAGAGAGAGAGAACACGTTTGCAATTGTCTTGAATTTTGTACGATTATCTGGTCACGATAAGTTTCTTTTTTTTTCGCTTTTTTTTTATATTGACATAGTTTTTTTTATATATTTATATAGAGAGAGTTGCAAAAAAAAAAAAGTTATTTGCATTTCATTGCAGTGATCTATTCGCGGACGCCGAGCTGCTAAAGTCAGTCTGAGTGCAGAGAAAAACCCACCGCTGGCCCTGAGCTTGAATTCTTGAAATTGAACGAGCTTAGTGTTGGGGGTGGTGGGGGTGGAGGGGGTGGAAAAATAAAGGACACATCGGTTTGAATCGGTCAGTTTCACCAGGTGAGTTACCTTTAACATACATGCACGTACATGCATGTTTTTATTTTCTTCCCTCCCCCCCACACACACACACACACTCCCTCCCCCCCCCCCCCCCCTCCCTCCTCCGCTGTATTGGACGATAACTAATCCGTGTTAATACCACAGCTCTATTACTCGATGGTCATTAACTATTTTAAGGGTTACGATATTGCCTCAGTCTGAGCAAAAAACATCCCCCCCTTCCCCTTCCCCTTCCCCCTTCCCTCCCCCATCACCGCTCCATCATTTCTGCGGCTCTTCTTAGATGCTCCCCAAGTTCAGCAGGAAAAGAATAAATCCTGTCTGTATCCCCCACCACACACCGCCCCCACCGATCGATGGTGTATTCATAGCGGAACTGATTTACACCCCGGCGCGGTGTAATTACAATTGACTATTTCCCAAAGTGCTTCTAAAGAAAGGCTGTTTGTTTTGTTTTGTGTGTGTGTGTGTGTGTGGTTGATTTCCAGCCCCTCGGTTTGAGATGATGGAGTATGCATACGATGAAGACTTGGACGAACTCTGTCCCGTTTGTGGCGATAAAGTCTCCGGCTATCACTACGGGCTTCTCACCTGTGAGAGCTGCAAGGTTTGTGGGCGTTTTGGTTTGCACGTTTGTTGGCCTCGGATCCAAACACACACACACACACACATACACACAAACACAAACACACACAAACATACGCATACACACACACACAAACACACATACACACACACACATAAACACAAACACACACACACACACACACACATACATACGCATACACACACACACAAACACACACAGAAAACATTCCTCAAATAAGGATAGGGTTTTTTTCATCAGCCCCCCCACACACACACTTTTATTTTTAGAGAATCTTTTTTTTCTTCTCTGGTAAATTGAAATACCTCTCTCACACTTTCTTCTCCTCTCTCTCCCCCCTCCACCCACCCACACACACACACACACACTCAACACACACAACACACACACTCACACACTTACCAGATGCACGACTCAGGACATTGATGTGTTTGCACTGGGAATGTGAGTGCAACTCATTTTAACGCTTTTCTCGACTCCCATCGCTTCTCACGACGATGCTCTGGAAGATCGACCGAAGTGAACGTTTCAAACTGTTCCGAAAGGAAAGAAAAGGAAACGTTTAAATTTGCAGAATGATTTCCAAACCCCCCCTTCTCTCTCTCTCTCTCTCTCCCCCGCCCATCCCCCCCCCCCCAAAAAAAAATCACGATTGACAAAAACTTGTCACAGTTACCAACTTGTGGAAGCATTTATTTTTTTTCTGTCGCATTTGCTTAAATCGACTTTATTTCAGCACAGTTTCGTCCTGTAAACTTCTGTTTATTCGGCTGACACCAGATTAAATGTGCACCAGACAGACCCCTGGCCAAGCTACAATTCTGATTTACATCATGCAATTCTTGAGAGTTTTCTTGATAGTTTTTTTTTGGGGGGATCTCACACCATGTGAGGGTTATTTCATCAATTTGATAATCGTTTCACAAAAACCAAAGCCTCGCAAAAACTCATTAAATCTGCAGTTAGTGAAGCCCTCGGTCGGTTTGGATGTCTTTGGCACAGTCCTAACTTTCTGCAGAAACTCCAGGTAGTTTTGGGGGGGGGGGGAATAAAAATGTTCCAAAAAGTGGGAAAATAAATTGCTTTCTGAATCACTCACACACAGCATTTTTTTCCCTCCCCCCCACTCCCTTTTTAGGGGTTCTTCAAACGCACAGTTCAAAATAACAAAAGGTACACGTGTATAGAAAACCAGAACTGTCAGATCGATAAAACTCAGAGGAAAAGGTGTCCCTACTGTCGCTTTCAGAAATGCCTGAGCGTTGGAATGAAGTTGGAAGGTAAGCACCATCCCACTGTATTTTGCTCTCACTTCCAGGTCTTTCTCTTTGCCAGATGGGTGGATTCAGGAAAACAGGGATGTATATACTAGAGATGCTGGTACATACAACCAAGATTGGACCAGGTGTCCACGTATTAAATAATGCAAATAAGATATACATTTGCGCATCTCTAAATGAAGAAATTATGACAATTGTAGTGTTACTTTATAGATATTTCAATATGTGCTTGTTGGGTCTGCAAGGAAAGGGGAGAGGAGGCTCCCCACCTGACGTTTTAGTTGTTCAGCATTCGGAAACATCTGAGGTGGGTTTTAAATATATAAATAAATTGCAGGAGTCTTGCAATATATATATATATAATATAATATAAGTTAAATGTTTTCAAGGAGTTAAAGAGATAGGTCCATTTAAATTAAAATGGATTGAAATTATATCACGTTCTGTATTAGGATAAATAACTTCGCAGTTTCAAAAGGTATGAGATTTTTTATACCCCGAGTCAAAACAGCATGTTATAAACCTACATCTTTTCCCATTAAAATAAGGTTTAGAAATAATTGATCACGTTTGTATTAAGTTTAAATATATAGGAAGGGACTCTTATTTCTTGTCCGAGGTTTACAAATTGACATATTGACATACAATACAATACAATCTCATAATTACGAGATGTCTCGAAGGTGTGATAACGTGCTATATCAAATGGAAGCATTATTTTTATTATTTGTATAGTGCCTTCACATAGCGGTTACCCAAGAACAGAAAACTATGCTTCTGCAGTTATTTACAAAATGTTTGATCGAAGATATAATATGTTCCCCAAATTAAAATACAATCTTATTTTTAAAGCAATTTTAAAACAGTTGATTTGTTTTTCCAAATGTACCTTCCTGGTTATGTCATATTAGCATATGTGGCAATGATCAGCTGTTGAAAGCTCATAGAAATATTATTACTATCTTTTTTTAAACATATTGTAATTTGCCTTTCCAACACTATTTTTCACTTGATCATATTCATTCAGAATTGCTTCAGTATTCCTATGGCAATGTGTGGTGGTTGAATGTACATTGAACTTTTGTCTTTTTTNGCAATCAACTATGAATACCATAATCACTTTCTTGTGTTGTGGGCTGCTAATATTTAACATTATTTAGCCAAAGGATAGTTCTTAGTGAATTTATTTTGGTATAAACTGAATTTAGCTATTGTAACATCCATAATTATACAATATAATGCAGTAGTGACAAGAATTTCATCAGAGGCGCACACATCTCGCATATTTCAGCGTGTGTGAACCTGTGAACGCCACTTTCTTTTTTTAAATTTATATTATTTGATAATTTGGGGTAGTAGAATTTATTTTAATGATTTGATTAATTACAACATTAGTAAACCATGCTGAAAATGTACAGTTTAAATCTGTGATCTATTAGAATTTGGCAGTTCAATGGTGTCTGTTTTCTATTTTATCACTTTTGTTTAGAAGCAAGAATTATAATTCTGAAGGAACATCTTGCAAAACCTACAGTGATGGTTTTCAACATCTAAAGATTTTAAATGCAGAAACCCCAATATGATGAATGAAAATGCATTGAATATTGAAGGGGAGATAAGGACGTAGTTTCAGCATTATTGGAAATTGAATATTTATGTTTGGAAATTAAATTTTAAAAGCTGCAATTTGTCAATGAGAATTAGCTCATAAATCATTGTCATTTCAAATCCTGATAGAAGCTGAATTCATTTTGCATTGACTTTCTGCGTCATTCCACATTATACTTTACCCTTGCTCCCACTCTGCTGCCTCATGCAATTAAATCAGAAAAAATACTCTTGATCATTCTGTATTATCCATGTTCACCTTATGCTACTTTAATAATGTTTCACATCACTACATCCATTGTAGTCACTGTGTGTCATTCTACCTCTTTTTCTGTTGCTCTGTCATTCCCATCATAACTATAAGAAAGATAGAACAAGAAAAAGCCATTCAGGCCACAAAGTGCAATCCACCCACAGACAGTTTAAAACGTTCACCTCATAACACCCACCTTATCTCTTTGAATAAATTCTTCATAGATATTTCTCGAACTCCAGTTAATAAGCAAAATTCAAGAGTATCTATCTATCATGGGATCTCAACTGTTCAAACCTGCTCTTAGGTCCACATAAAATAACTTACCTAGTTCCAGCCTCACAAATAAGTTATTGTATTCAATGAAATATTTGTTCATCACGGTTTTAATTTACCCTTAAGCTTCCTCCAATGTTATTTACAAGCTAATACTTAAAAAGTCTTTTTAAATGATGTAATAATCAATGAGGCATTGAATAATTTTGCAGTGAATCTGTCAGGTATCCACTATTCTGCAAAAAAAAATCTTTGAATCACTAGGCTAACTTGAAACTGGTTAAATTGAAAATCTTACCCTTTCGTTCTGCTTTCATGACGCAAGTCAAATAGTCTGCTTAGATTTGTATCACCTATGCCTCACACTAGTTTAAAGACCTGGATCATGGCCTCTCATTCTTTTTTCTCTAATGAAACATTTTCAGCTCTGCAAACCTCTCCTTAAGTCTCAGAATAATCTTGGTAACTCTTTTCTGAATCCTCTGTTATCTTTCAATATTTTTCCGAAGGTAGGGTGACCAAAAATGCACGCAATATTCTGAACGTGGGCTCAGAAATAATTTGTAGAAGACTCTATAATTTCTTTTGACTTGTAATCAAATGCTCTCGAGATGAAACGTAGTGTTTGATAAGTTTTGTTGATAGCATTGACTGGAACCTTCAGTGAATTGTCACACCCTGCCATTTTACATCTCTCCATCATTCTATATCCTTCTGCAATATTTGACATTTTACTCTGTATAACCCAAACCATTCTTATCTTTCAAAATCAATTCAACTCACTTCAGTGATGAGATGCTGGAACATAACTGGGATCAAACATATCTCAAAATTAAACACCGTGAGAATTCCTAATTCTTAATTCTTCAGTTCTGTGTGAATTTGGACTTTTTTTTAAAATAACTGCAGAAAGCTATCATATTAGTATTATTATATCCACATTAAGACCGAATTGATGACTTTTCCACGATTCTGCACAATTTTAAATTTTAAGATAAAATGGTTTCACAGGTTAAGTAAGACGAGGTGGAATTTTGGGCCTCTGGAATCATTCTATGGTTGCACTTTGGCCACATCTTTATCAGTGATCATGTCTGCTGCAACCATGTTCTGTAAACTACTCTTAATGATTGTTCCAGAATTATATTTTCAAAATGAGTGGTTTTAAAGGTTGTGAAAAAATGATTGCAAAGTTATATGATAGAACAAATTGACTAATTCCAAAAGAATTTGGAACAGTCTTGAGTCTTATGCGGTCGATCTTCAATACTGGCATTTCTAATATATGATTATGTGCCCTGCATTGTAAAAGAGCTTCTGAGGTGATTCAGAGCTTTGAGCCAGCATTTCCATATTGCAGTCACACTGCTTCCAGCAGTGGGTGAATTTCTTACTCCAGCTGGTTGCAGAGTTCATACTTATAAACAGTGTTTCGATGACACTTAGCAATCTGCAGATCAATCGATCCCACATTCCCTGTGGAGTGAAAAGTCATTCTCGCACCCCTACCCAACATTTGTAGTCAGTGCAACATTTGGGACCAGTAAGATTCAGAAACATTTTATGATAAATATTAATAGTCAACAGGGAAAATTAGCAAAATATATAGCCACCTAAATGCAAGCACTCAGCTAGATTTCTTCAAGCCAAGAGAGTTTTCCCAATAGGACTCACAATTAGTTATTGCCCCCCATTCTACCATGTCGGTTTGAACTTATAATTGTCAATGTCCTTATAATGGATACACAAGCTCTGTGATAAATTTTTAATATCACACTAATCCCAAGGATAAAAAGCTGCAAATGTAACCTCAAGTGTGGCTTGCAACAACCTCAACATGTCATGCAGCTGTCAAGAGGTTCCTGCGTTTCTTTAGTCACCAATAGATGAAACCGCTTCAGTGAGAATATCTCAGTGGCCATTAGAACAACTCAGTGGTGACAGATACTGCTGTGACAGAGGCCATTAAAATTATTCCCAAGGCATCTGTTGAACTGGATTTGTTTTAATTATTTTTAATTCCAGAGATATTAGAAGACATAACAGTGGCACTGGGTTCTAAATGAGCTTCTTTGTTTTTTTCACTAACGAAATATCCAAATGGTTCTTATATAATACACAGCTTTTGTGCAACATGGTTCAAGCAAAGGAAAAACTAAAAAAGTGATGTAAAAGTTATAGGAGACAAAAAATGAAGGCAGCTGTTTTCAAGCATCCTCAATGGTAATAGGTTAAGTATTGAGAGCTATGAATGAGGTATATAGTAGAATAATATTACATTTGATTAAGGGAATCTTAGCATCCCACTGGAGTGTAATCTTAAAGCTATTAAATTCTTATTTTATACAAAGCTTCTTTGTTGATTGCCTTAACAGTTTGCTTACAATTATTTTTTTTTCAAATTTATGATGAATATATGGAATATAATTGTAATTTTGTTAGACAAACAATTTTGAAGGTATAGGAAGGGATACTTTGTAATCAACTTATCACCCGAAGAAGAAACCTTTGACGTTACTAGGTCTAATGCTACAGCATTGTCATAGCGCAAATCATTCTCTATTTATAAGCACAGAAAATGTTAATGCTTATCTGATAGCCAATGTTACCACTCGTAAATTTGCCGCAGAGATACATACTGCACTCAGTGAACACAGAGCAAAAATATACAATGAAATCCCTAGTGCATATAAACACGCTGATACTTAAAGTAGTTGCAGTTGTGCAAGAATCTGCCAGGTTACAATGGTTGCTTTTTCAGATGGCTGTAGCAGCTTTCTTTATCCTCTAACAATTTCTGCTATGTGGTAAAGATAAGTCAACTTAAAATAATATCAACTTAAAATGGCAATACCATATCTGCATATAGTATGTTACTGCTGTAGGATTTACTAATCTGATAAACTATATCAACTTCTTATTTTCTATATTCAAAACAGCATGTGTTCAAAATAGAAGCTGGCTGATGTAATTCAGCCCCCCAAAAATTTGGAGTGCTTTGTGTTTACTTCCTTTATTTTGGAAAGGATGTTGATGTTATGTGAATTTTTTTACACTAAGAATTTGCAAGCTATTGAAATGTTCTTAATGGCAAGTATTTTTTTGATTGCGCCTCACTAACTCTGTCAATTTAAAAATATATGTTCTACAGCTGTAAGGGCTGACCGTATGCGTGGAGGTCGAAACAAGTTTGGGCCAATGTACAAGAGGGACAGGGCTCTAAAACAACAGAAGAAAGCCCTGATACGAGCAAATGGACTTAAACTGGAAGCCATGACTCAGGTGATGCAGACAATGCCAACAGACCTGACGATATCTTCTGCCATTCAAAACATCCACTCAGCCTCCAAAGGCCTACCTCTGAACCACCCTGCCTTGCCACCAACAGACTACGACAGAAGTCCATTTGTAACGTCTCCAATTAGCATGGCAATGCCAACACATCCCAGTCTGCAAGGCTACCAAACCTATAGTCCTTATCAAAGCCGTACTATCAAGTCAGAATATCCAGATCCCTACACTAGCTCCCCTGAGTCTCTAATGAGCTACCCTTACATGGACACCTACCAGACCAACTCTCCATCCAGTATTCCACATCTTATAGTGGAACTCTTGAAGTGTGAACCAGATGAGCCCCAGGTGCAGGCCAAGATCCTGTCCTACCTGCACCAAGAGCAGGCGAGCAGGGGCAAACATGAAAAGCTCAGCACTTTTGGGCTTATGTGCAAGATGGCAGATCAGACCCTCTTCTCTATTGTTGAGTGGGCACGAAGCAGCATATTCTTCAGAGAACTTAAGGTATGATTACAATTTTGTATTGTACTGCTATACAAGTCCAAGAGAGGGGGAGGTAATCATTATGCATTCTCTGATTGAATGATTGACTCATTTCAGTCAGTTCAAGAAGAGGTAGAGTGAACATTTCCCAAAGTATCAGATTCGACTCCCCATTAATTCACTTGTACAATTCAACATGTAGAATAGTTGATTTGCTGAAAAGCACATTATGACACACAGAGGATGATGTTACTACATCTCCAGTACATGTACACTACATGTATATGCTGGTACACTAACTACCAAGCTGACACCCATCAATTATGTACATAGTTAATGTTTTTTCCCAATATGAGACATAGTCAAAGTGCTATCCTTACCAACAAAGATATCATCATCCCCAAAATGTGTTCTGAGATGTAGAATGTTATTTCTGGTTTAAAATCTCTGAACAGTATACAATTTATAAATTGTATCCACAACATTAGTTTCTCCCTCTGGGATTGTGTTGATAAGATAGGGATAAAAATTATTTGTGTAGCGACATTGACAATGTGCATAGGACCTGGAATTCTTACCCCAGTAGTGCGCATCTGTAATTTTGCTACACTTAGTGATATGTGGATTTTTTTTCCCCCATTAAATATCTTCCATCTCACTTGGCAAAAATCAACTGTTCGATTCAGATGACATTAGGAACTTGATCTTGGTTAAGTCCACTACTTTCATTCTATATGTTAAAACTACATAATAATAACAATAATAATCTTTGCATTTGCACTTTATCACATCTTTGAACGTCTCGAAGTGCTTCACAGAATATACTGTAAAGTGAACGACTATATTTTGTGGGCGAAACGTGGCATCCAATCGCCACAGCAATGTCCCACAAATAGTCGTGCATTGAGTGACCAAATTATTATTATAAGTGAATTTCGGGGCTGTTGCACCTTTAATCAGTAGCAATTTATGTTTGGTTTAAAACATAAGGTAAGAATATAAGAAAACGTTTTCAAACTGGGGCGAGTCTTAAAAAAAGCCTTTCAGAATGGTTGCTGTTATTTAGTTGGTGTTTTTTTGAACATGTTGTTTTGTTAATTATCAGTCTCTGAAATGTATGCAAAATAATTATTCTGACAAGTGGCAAGCAGTCACATTGTTATTTATTATCAATGATTCAGACCCAGAAACCTGAGGATGTTATCTATTTGAAGTAAAACATTAAAAGAGCTGTTTTCAGCTCAAGGTTTAAGGGGAGAAATTCCACCTGGGTCTAGATTTATTATATTTATGTAGAATTAATATAGTATTAATATTGAAGCTAGTTTTCTGGTGGATGTAAGAAACTAGAGTAACATCACAGTTAAGTTTAAATCTGCCAAATTCTGAATTCTGTTCTAAAATGCTACATAAAAGGAATAAATCTAGACTCAGGTGAATTTCTCCCTTGAATGTCTGTAGTGAGAAGAAATTTGTGCAAAATATGATTCTAGATCCATTTCAGAGTGCATAGTGTATGTAAATACTAGGAAGAGCAGTGTATTTAAGGAGTGTATGTAATAGTTTATGAAATGTGTGTACTGTAGTTTATCAGAAGAGTTTATAGAGAAATGTTGAAGAGTATGCAATAGTAAACATAAACCTTCTGCATAGGAATACCTACAATAGTGTATCTTAAGGAGTGTGTGTTGCAGTATCTGCAGGAGAAAGTGATATGTTGGTTAAATTCAGTTCAGTTTTTGGTTTGCAAGTCTTGGATGTTTGTCTCCATGTTTGCTCCCTCCTCTTCTAAAACAATCTCTCTTGGTGGGTGGGGGTGTGTGGGGGCTGGAGTGGTGGTCCGATGTCTTTCTTGAGCCATTCATCCTGTTTGATCGTGGTGGATCAGCAGGCAAGGTAACTACGGGGGGCATTATAGCTAAGGCCAATTCTCATCCAACATTCATATGTATATGCCTCTCATATGGGGTCACCTGATAGAGATCAGGCAAAGGAGTCCTGTCTGTTTTGATTCCCTCCATTGCAGGCATGATATCACCAATAGTAGTGCTTTATTGCTACCCGGCTGATATCAGCTAACTCAGTACAGACCAGGATTCAGTTTGGTGGCTGAACCTTACCTATAGGTGACACTAAAAGAAAATACTGCAGAATTTGTTTCTAACTTTACATAGATAAAGCGCTCAGGGATGCTACCCTGTGTGAAGCATGCTCTACAAATGCAACTTGTTGTTATATCATCTATTCTTTGGTGATATTCTTGTGTCCTTTCAATATATCTATGAGACAGACTACAACGCTGATGTCAATGCTCCAAAGCTGAAAGAACGCTACTCATCTGAATTGATATAGAATCTAAAATACTGGAAACGATTATTTGTAAGAATTCTTCCCTTGTGTGTAGATTTCTTTGTTCAGGGTGAATGTAGGCTATTCCTCCTTCATCCAATGGTCATATTATTGCAGTGGAATATTCCACTTAAAATGTGTGTTCCCTGATTGTCGCAAGGATTGCAAGAATAATACAAAAAATAGTTTATTTTTTATTTTTGTTTGTATCTGGTTGTTTAAAAGTATTCAATGAAAGAAGAAGGGAATAGTAAAAAAAAGTTGAAAATACATCATCTCCCTAGGACAGTGGTGGCTAATCTTTTTGATTGGCCAACAAAATAATCATGGAAATAACAAAATAGCATAGGTTGATGCCATAAATCAAGAAATATTCAATCAAGCAACATTTATTTTGTTGCCCAACCAAAGAGGACGATATGTCAATGTAGATAAATATGAACCTCTACATAAAGTGCACACTAATGGGTGATTGTTAATGGGAATATTTGTTTCAAGGACCTCTTACTCAGTCGGTGATTAATTCTCTATATATCATACACTGCAGAATTTGGTTAATAGAAATGATATATTAATGGGTACATTACGCTCACAGTGGAGTATACTTTTTAAGAGGTTTTTAAGTAATTAATTCAGTAGAATGCTGTAAAAAAATAAGTTTAGAGATTTAAAGGGGAACCATCTGGGTGAGAAACAGTTAAGAAAATCTTTGTGTAGTTTTATAAACTCATGCCCTCATTTATTGGATAAAACTGATACTTTTCTCTTTACTTCATTCTTCTCTACCCCTCCCCCTAAAACACAAACACACATGTAAAGTTTACTGAACCTTTTTATTTCTGGAAAGAACCTTCCTTTAAGCAAGACCTGGTTAGATTTATACAACTTTCATTTTCAACGTGTCAGGGAAACCGTGTCAATATCAACACAGAGTGACATGAGTAGAATTAATGACCTTTCTGAGCAGAGGAACATTTGCGATGAACCATTTTGCAATGACCATTCTAAATGTTCTGTTTCCTGTTATGATTCCATTGTTTGCTTAGTGCACATATATCTGACTGCTATGACACCAACACGATACAGTGTGTACACATATAAACATTTTGTGTAAGTCAGTCGGCATAAATGGAAATCAACAATGGAAAGTGTCAGTTTTAATAGAATTGTGACAAAATGTCAGAACTTTGTTTATTTATCATCAAGAATGATACGAAGTCGGAAATTTTGTTACTGGCTCTAATTCCTGTTTCCCTGGCCCTAATTATATAAACTCCAATCTTTACCCAAACTTTCACTCACAACATGTACAGTTAATCCACTTTACAATATATTATGTGAAGTACTTTGAGACGTGTTAACGACCTAAGGCGCTATATCAAATGCAAGTATTATTATTATTACTATTATTATTATTATTAATACCAACCACAAAGGAATTCAGGGTGAAAGCATCAGATCAGGAGGAAGCTAAAGCATAATAGTCAAAGATGGCAGAAAACAGTAATAAGGACAGGGTTTGCAGAAACACCTATTTTCTGTCTATTCTCATTAGAGTTCAAAATAAAAAATCTTCACTGAATTTCACAGATTAAACTGAATGGAGATTGGGAAAATGATACAATACAGTGCTCCATTGCATTGGTTTGCCAAAAACTGTTTTCTAGAGCAAAACCTTTGATTTCCAGCTGTTGGTTTTCTCAGTGGTACTTGACATGTTTGGAAGTGTGGTGTCACAATGCAATTTGTTGTAGCACCAATACACGGTGTGTGCGGTCATACTCGCATATTTTAATCACAGATTTTCATTTGTTTAGCAGCAATCTGGACAGAGATTGGCATTTTTCTGCCAATTTTCTCACCTGTTTGTAGTCATGCTTTGGGACAGTGAGTGCTGGCAGTCTATTTAATAATAATAATAATAATCCCTGCATTTGATATAGCGTTTCTCATGTCTTCTAGACGTCTCAAAGCGCTTCACAGAATAGACTGTAAAGTGAATTGACTGTATATTTGTGGGCAAAATGCAGCAGCCAATTGTACACAGAAGTGCCCCACAAACAGTCGTGGATTGAAAATGACCGATTTATTATTTTTTGGGGAGATATTTTTATTAGGTATGTGGAGTAAGGAAACTTGCCCAAGGTTTCGTCCTGCCTGGAATTGAACCCAGGTGTCTCGTTTGCAAGGCGAGTGCTCTAACCACTGAGCTACAGGACTCCAGGACTCTATTTGATAATGGAGGACACGCAAGCCAAGCTTGAAACTCTTCTCATCCCCACATGTACACCTGCTGGCGGATATCACTGATGGTTACTGGTCAGGAGTGGGAACCTTCACTAGTTTATTCCCCCGAACACCCCTGCCCCCCCCAACCCTCCCCAGGTGACATTGTGGAGTCCTGAAACTCAGTGGTTAGACCACTCGCCTCGCAAGCGAGAGACCTGGGTTCGATTCCCAGCAGGGCGCAGCCTTGGGCAAGTTTCCTTCCTCCATACACCTGTTAATAATCCCTCAAGAAAAAAATAATAATTTGGTCACTCAAACCACAACTGTTTGTGGGACACTGCTGTGCGCAATTGTCTGCTGCGTTTCATCCACAAATATACGTTCTATTCACTTTACAGTATATTCTATGAAGCACTTTGAGACATCTAGAAGATGTGAAAAGC